AACGGGTTTAATTGATATCAAAAATGTCTGAAACTGCTAAATTGTTAAGCGAAAATGATTATCGCAGGAATTAGTTGTTACTCTAGATGTTTAGATTATAAAAAATTCAGACAAATCTGTGATGATAATGATTGTTATTTATTTTCTGATATGGCACATGTAAGTGGACTTGTTGCAGCCAAAGCTATCCCATCTCCCTTTGAATTCAGTGATGTAGTTTCTACAACTACTCACAAAACATTAAGAGGACCTAGAGCTGGAATAATTTTTTATAGAAAAGGTGTGAAATCTGTGAAAAAAAATGGAGAAAAAGTTATGTATGATCTTGAACAAAAAATAAATCAGGCTGTTTTTCCTGGTCTTCAAGGAGGTCCTCATAATAATACAATAGGTGCAATAGCGACAGCTTTAAAATTAGCTACTTTACCAGAATTTGTAAATAACCAACATCAGGTAATACAATTATAATATCTATAATGTTTTTTTTTTTCCCCTAATAAGTTTATTTGAAATCATTTTTTTTTTTTTCTCTAGGTTATTACAAATGCCAAACATTTATGTTCTCTCATGCAAAAGCTTGGTTACAAAATAGTTACAGATGGAACTGATGTTCATTTAGTTTTAGTCGATCTTAGGAATAAAGAAATTACAGGAGCTATAGCAGAGTTTGTTTTAGAAGAAATTAATATTGCATGCAATAAAAATACTGTACCAGGAGATGTAAGTGCCTTAAATCCAAGTGGTATTAGATTAGGTACACCAGCACTTACTACTAGAGGAATGAAGGAAAAAGACATGGAAAAAGTTGTGGATTTTATACATAAAGGTTTGTAATTATAATTTTTTTTTTTTTTTTCCATTAATTGTTTGTTAAATTAAATAAAAAACTTTTCATTACATCTAATTATTAATTATTGAACACAAAATAAAATGATAATATAAAAAATATTGTATGATTTTAGTTCTTACATGTAAAAAAATAATAATTTTTTTTTTTTCCTATTTTATAATCGCAGGTTTAGAAATAGCAAAGAAAGGGCAAAAGATATCAGGGCCGAAATTAATAGATTTTAAAAAGTTTATTGCTTCTGATGCCCTGATAATGAAAGAAATAGAAAATTTAAAATTTGAGGTTGCACAATTTGCAAATGATTTTCCTCTTCCTGGACTTGAAAATTTATAATAAGGTAAGTGCTATTAAATATTTTTATACTATCATTTATCACAATTTCCTATTTAAATTTGAATAATCGTACATTATTCTAAAATAAGAGCAATAATTACATTACATTCGATAAAAAAAAAAAAAAAAAATTATGCAGTGGTTTACTTTAGTAAAAATTTTCTTTTGTGTTTTTTTTTTCCATACTCCATAATTAAATTTTTTTATAATACTATAATAGATCAAAACGAAAATTTCATTTCGACTGTTTTTTTTCTTTTTTTAATTTTAAACTCGTTTCTTTTTTATTTGTTTCAAGATCTGAATATTAATGTTATATTATAACAAAATATAAATGGTAGATTTTTAAAATAAGTAAAGAAAAAAAAAAAAAAAAAAAAAAAAAAAATTCTTATAATAACGTATTATTGAAGTGATCACGTGTGAAATTTTCAAACGTGAAAAACTAAAAACTAAATTAATTGTTTATTGTTGTAGGGATTAATGTGTAAACAAAGCGATTAATAAATTTTTTTATTGCTTTTTTTCC